GCTTTTGTGTGGGTCAGGCCACATGGCAAACCACTGGGCTTAGTCCCATCATATAGAGTCATTCTTAGCATTTCATGCATAGCTCTAACTGCATTTCCAAACTGATACTGAACTGCTTTTGGAAGATCCGATATAGGACCATAGGGGAACTTTATTTACAGTGACCAGAGAGTCCTGAGGTATAAGGCAGTATCAAGAAATAGTTGGCCCAGAACTTTAATCAGCCCTAAACAAAGACTAGCTCCTTCTGCAATATGGGAATGAATCCACTTGGGAACACCAGGATTCTTTGGAGAGAGGTCAAGGTCACATAAAGTCCCTCAACTGTAACAGGAGAGTGGGAATACAGTCACGCTGTAAAGATCACCCAGAATCTTATGGTCAATTTAATTGCAATGTTTCTCAGTAGGTTTCCAAACCTAAATCTTTAGGGCCAACGGTTCAAATGGTTCCTTTAACTTAACGAACTTTTCAAAACCCAAACATGCTTCTGGGGAGAAAGAGATTCTTGAATTGCCCAAGCCTAAGTGGCACATCTAGGATGTAACCTCAGGCTCATGGAACATAGAACAGAGATTAAAAGAACACTGATGCACCTTTCAGTTCTCATCAATGAAGCTCCTCATGCAACAGAGGGCCTCAAAAGGTCACAAACAACAAGAGTCTGCAGAGTGTGTGTACTTGGACAGGACTCCTATATTAAAATACACCCACCCAGGGCTCAGGGACCATTGTGGAAGAGGAGGTGGAAAGATTGTAAGAGCCAGGGAGGAGGTGCATGACCATAGAGAAATAGTCCTACACGGACTCTTCTCATATGAACCTACAGCAGTGGTGTCAGCATGCACAAGATGCATGCAAACTCAAGCAAACAGAAACCCAGCACAGAGCTGTGGAAATGAACAGCGGGCCCAAAGAATTATTGGCAGCTGATTACTGCTGGGTGAGGAAGAGCTGGTCTTAAGGGGAGGGACTAGATAGGCTGACTAGATCCCAGTGGATGAACTTGCACTGAGGGACATCTAGGGACACTAACTTTACATGATAGGCCTTAAAACAAATGATAGACTGTATGAACTCCGGGAGGGAGGGGTCTACGGGAGGGTGCCAAAGGGGAAGGGAGTATAAAGATTTTCTGTATGAAATATACACACACACACAAAAATCAATAAAAAATTGAAAAGTGAAGATTTTACAAACAGAACATTAAAAAAATAACATGTTCAGAAAGGCCATTTTAGATGCACAGTTCTTGGACTTCATTTATTTTTTAAATATTTTATTTATTATTTTTATTTTATGTATATGAGTGTATTGCCTGCATGTGTGTAATTGCACCCATGTGTGTCCTGCAATGCCCACAGAGGTCAGAAGAAGGCATCAGATCCCCTGGAATTAGAGTTACAGATGGTTGTTCACTGCCATGTAAGTACTGGGAGTGGAACCTGGATCCTCTGCAAGAGCAGTCTGCTCTTAACCACTGATCCATCTCTCCAGCCCAATTCATTTGTTCTTATAAAATGACACACACACACACACACACACACACACACACACACACACACACACACACACAGAGTTCATGGTGGTATAAACCTGAGATTTCAGAACTCAGTAGACAGACAGTGGGAGGACCCCAACTTTGAGGTCAGAGTGGGCTACACAGTGAATACCAGAACAGTCTGGGATACACAGTAAGACCCTATCTTAAAAGAAAAAAGAGAGAGAGAAGAGAGAATAAGTAACTAAAATGACATACTAATTAAACAAATTTTAAACACATTTTAAATTCATAAAACGGGTGCGTTTTCACTACAAAAATAGTTTTATCCTCTACACATTTAGAATGATTGAAAGCACTTAGCGTAAAACAGGAGAGGACAGGTGCTCTCTTGGAGTCTGTGGCCACTTCTGGTTTTAGGCTCCACTGAAGAAACTCATTCTAGGAATTGGTCAAATTCACACCTTGTAGGCAATGATCAGATGTTTTGCGGGGTCAAATGCCTGGTCTACTGACTTTTGATTAAGTAAATTAAAACTCAAAATTTCCGATAAGAAATTATAATAGCCATTTTAACACTTTAGTAATGCTACATAGATGAAACTTACTTGAATATAAGTATATTCAAACCCAATGCTGAATCATTCCAGATCATTAAAAGATAATTTCATCCATTTGAGTCTTCTCTGTCATGATACATATTGATAGATATTTGTTCCCTGTCTTGTTAAATATATTTAGAAACCAAATTAGAGGGACTTCTGCAGATTTCTGAGAATTTAATTATACCCTGAAATTGCAATACTAATGATATATATGGTTAGACTCCTGTACTGAGTAATTACCTGAATTAACTTCATTTTACAATGCTTAATTGATTTTATACTGAGGAAAGCTTTAAAGTATTTAAGAGAAAACAATTTAATTTTGATTTTTTAAATTTTTGCTTGCTCCAACATGTTTCAATTCACTACTGTTTCAATACCAAGGAACAAACTCTCCTGTCTTGACAAACCAAGCATGGAAATTTCCTCATAAGCGAAAAGAAGAAATTAAAATGATTTTGATATTCAGGTCACAGTATGCTACACAGAGATTCTTTGGCTCTGGGAAGAGCTGCTTGTTACTGCAGATTGGGGGCTATGCACTACAGATTTGTAGAAGTGTCACAGTAAGATCTGCCAAGGAGAGGAAGGAAACCTGAATGATGACTCCGATTCTGGCCCATTCTCTGGGACACAGAGGTTTCCTTCCCTTGTGTGTGCCCTAGCCATGATCTTTCTGAAATCAAAGCTCTATTCTTTTTCTGTGTGTCTTTCTTTTCTTTTTGGTGTTGTAGGGATCAAATCCACAGTCTTGCACATGCAAAGCATCCACTCCACCATTCGCCCATGAGTCTTGCTCTTCAAAAAATGAAATGTACTTTCTAACCTTCTTTAGCATAAAATAAAGGAACAAAAACCTGAAGCACTTACTCTTTCCCACAGTCAAGTATCTGCTCTTTTGCATTTAACGAATCATACACATATCTGGATGACAGTTAACCTCCAGTGTCAAAGAAAAGCAATTGTGTAAGAAAGATCACACAGATTATTCCCACACATTTCTTGTATGTGGACATTTTTTTAAAAAAAAAAAAAAAAAAAAAAAAAAAAAAAAAACCTTTGTGGTCTCAGTGACACAGAATGTCATTTGAAAGAACATGGAGGTGGCTTAGCATCCAAGATATTGAGAAAGTTATTGAGTCCAGTTATAACATTGGGTCAACATCTCCATTTAAGCATATGGAGCCATAGGGACCTGAATAAAAATTTAATTTGGAGTATTAAGTAGTTGAAGAATTTGCTAATTTTGACTATCAATACTGAAACGGTCTCATTTTCAGATGCCAAATTGTTATGATTGTTAAGAATACCAAAACTCAGCTAGCCGTGGTGGCGCATGCCTTTAATCCCGACACTTGGAAGGCAGAGGCAGGTGGATCTCTGTGAGTTCAAGGCCAGCCTAGTCTACATAGTCAGTTCTAGGCCAGCTGGGGCTCCAGGGAGACCCTGTCTCAAAAAGACC